CACAGAGACATCAGCCCTGCTGTTGTTAAACTACTTAACCTATGCAAGCAATCACCCACCTCTGCATTCTTATTATATGAAGACAATAACCCTCTATTTGTGTAACTGACCACACCCAGGACTTCTCCTGCTTGCAAGCTTAACCAATATGCCAAATCATCATCATCATCATAAAGATAGTTATCACTTGCTGAGTGCTTGCTATAAACGAGGCATTAATTTATGTTTTATGTGTGTTTAATCTCTTCTACCTTATTCCAACTCTGTGAAGCAGGCACTATTATTATTAGCATTCTAAAAGGAAACTGAGGCACTGTTTTATCTGGGTTGCCCAAGGCCACACTGCTTATAAGGGATTTAAATCCAGCACCCTAACTTCTAAACCCTCATTCTGCAGCAAACAGTATTCTAAACAGTCTGAAAGACTAAAACTATTTCAATTAAAATCAGAAATTAGATAGGGATTCTTCCTATTTTAGTATACCTATTCTTATTCAGTATTACTTGGAGATTCAAAAGCCAATGTTTCTCAGTGGGGATATATTGACATTTTGGGAAGACAACTCTTCATTGTGCAGGATTGTTGCACATTAAAGATGTTGCCATCTGTGTTGTCTAGGTCCTAGCAGAAGCACTCTCTAGATATAGTGTCAGCCAAAAATACCCTCCATGTTTCCCCATAGGGAGGCAGTGTCGCCCCAGTTAAGAACTATCATTCTAGCACAAATCTGGCAAACTTCCTCCAAAAAAAAAGTCCAAATAGTAAATATTTGAGGCTTTACAGGACATGCAGTCTTAGTCTGTCTCAATTGCAACTACTAAACTCTGACATTATTGAGTGAGATCAGTCATTGACAGTACATAAACAAATAAGGGGGCCTGTGTTCCAACGTGAACATATTTATACAAGAGAAAGAACCCCGAAGCACCAAGGGGTTAAAAAACTTGCCTGGGGTGATTCATCTAGGAAGTTTACATTCAGATTCAACACAAAGGTGGAGTGACTCTAGGGCCTGTGCTCTTATTCAGAACACTATTGATTTCGGGTATTTTAAATGTTTTTCTCTCAGTAAAAGGCAGGGTAAATGCCTCAAAGACCTTCTCACCCTCCAGACTCTGGCCCTCCTCATCTGTCTGGTGTCAGCTGCTCCTTCCTGCAGTACAGGCCACCCAAGATTTGCTTCTGTGACAGCTTGGACCAGTGCTACCAAGGATATACCTCATGCTTTACTATGCATGTCCCTAAGAGAGGCTCTCCTGGCTGGCTCTAACACACAGTCATCCTTGAAACCTCCCCAAATGTAAGATTTTATGAAACTGATCACTAGAATAGTTGTTCACTGATCTGTGACTGTTTTTATTTTTCAAATCTCAAGGTCTCACTGTGGGTGAGCAAAAACAGAAAGGTCTTAGCTCATGGTATGGCACATGGAAAAGCTCTGTAATATGTGCTAATATTAATAAAACATACAGAGTAGCAAGTAGATATCTCTGCTTGAGGAATGAATATGTGTGTAAATTCAGGAACATGCATCAAGGCTAAGAACAACCAAGTCAATCAGAGTGGTACAAATGAGCAAAGTTGTAACTGCTAATTCTGTTAGAGTATGTCAGTCTAGGCTTTAGAGTCCCTATTGTGCTTGCCTAGGAAAAGGGACCCATATCTAACCACCCAGGAGCCATACAGATGGAGCCAATTCCAGAAGACAGTTAATATCATGGTGCAGATCAGTGGAGTCTCATGAGACTTTACTGCTAATCAGTGTCTAAGACACACCATAGTCATTGCCACCAGCTGTGGGGGCCAGGCTGCAATTCTTCTACAATAGTAGGCAGGTGGGGAATTCAACAATAATCTAAAAGGGCAGGCTACCAAAATTAGGAAAAACAAAAATATAATTACCTCATAATGCTTTTTGGGAGGAACCAGAATATGCTGCTTCCAACATTTTCTGGTTTCTGTAGGGTATGCTTTTTCCACCACAGATATTAAATATATTAGGGGAAATTAGGAGTAAAGATTTTTAACAGATTGCCCATCCAATTATGTTTAACAAATTGGTAGATTCTTTTCTCTTTCAGTATTTTTTTTTTAACAGAATTGACTTGTCGTGTTTGCATTGTGTTAACAAAACCCAAAACCACGATGGAATTAAAGAAAAACTTCTCTTAAGAACTTATAGATGTGAAATATAACAATGTTTGTGATAAATACACATTTCAAATCTCTAATGCTTTCACTCAATATGAGTAAAACTATTAAGGAAAATGTAGTTTTAATATTATTTTTTCATCCATTTTTGTCATCATTTTTTATCCTCTTATGAAATGATTTCTTCTTAATAAGCACAGAGCAAATATAATAAGGTTGTGGTAGGTAAATAACTTTGCCTAATATCATTAATTACTAACAGCTCAATTATACTGTGAAGTGCCTATAATTGTCATGAAGCTTCAAAAATCCTTATCACGGATTCTATTATGTATAGGATTCATTTAAATTACATTAATTATACGGATTTTTAATGAAGCAGAGAGACTACTTTCAATTTTCACAAGCAGAGACAATGATCAAAATATTTATGTGCATATTACATACTTTATTCTGTTGACATTCATAAAATAATTCATTTACTCAGACAATATTAGCACCTTTACATGGGAGGGAAAAAAGGCAAATCTAATTTTTCATGTTTGGATTTCTTTTAAGATTATATGATCCTTAGAGGGTTATTTTATGTAATATCTAGCACAATTTGGGCAATATTTTTTAGAAAGTAAAATATTTAAACTTTTTTTTTTACCAGTAATTTGTATTAGCTGTAAATGGTTTTTAAACCATGGTTGTTAATTCCATTTGAAAGTCCAGAATCCAGAGCCTTACTCTCTGAGTTCAAATACAAAGATACGCAGGCCAGTGATTTTAACATTCTGTACCTCAGCTTAGTCATCTGTAGAACAGGAATAATAACATTTTTTATTGAGAATTTAAAGAGTGATATGTGAAGTGTTTAAAAGAATGTTTAACCATTAGTTAATGCTATATAAAAGTATTTTCCATTATTTATTTTCCTGCTTGGGAGGAGCTCAATTTAACATGAATATTAGTGATACCCAATTTCACCCATATAAAATGGTAGGGAGAGCTTTTTATCATTAAAATTCCATGAAAGCAGTGTAAGAAAATCCTGTGGGCTAAATTGTAAATCCCAAAATACTGACTTCCCTTGTGATGTGGCTTTGAATAGTGTGGCAGTGAAAAACTTTTTTTCATTCATGTTGTTATTAAAACCTGTTAGATCAACGACTTAACTTCAACCATATGGAAACATGGAGAAACTAAGGCAGCCAAAAATAGCAGTTTTTAGATCCAGACAAGTTTGAGGCTAGGAAATGAGAATCGTAGGCAGAGGGTGAAGCAGAAATATAAATTGAAACCAAGTGTCACTTTTCAGATAATCCTTTTTCTTCTCTCCATATTTCCCCTCCTTCTTCATCTCATATATATCACTGCTGGGACTGACCAGCATACTGAACTCAGCACTCCAAAAAGGAAACGTGCATGGGAACAGACATCCTACTATGAGATCTTTATGGAAAATCCAAGGCCAGGCATGGTGGCTCACACCTGTATTCCCAGCACTTTGGGAGGCTGAGGCAGTAGGATCAGTTGAGCCCAGGAGGTCAAGACCAGCCTGGGCAACATAAGGGAGACCCTGTCTCTACAAAAAATTAAAAAATTGGCTGGGCATGGTGGTATGCACCTATAGCCCCAGCTGCTTCGGAGGCTGAGGCAGGAAGGTCAAGGCTGCAGTGAGTCATAGTTGTGCCACTGTACTCCAGTCTGGGTAACAGAGGGAGACCCTGTCTCAAAAACAAAACAAAACAAAACAAAACAAAACAAAACAAAACACACACACAGAAAATATGGTTGCTTTCTTTTCATCATTCAAACAAAACCAGAAAATTCCACCCTAAATTCATGTATAACAGACTATTTGTTGTCTGGGAGTTTGGATTATAACACAATGAGGGGTTCTGGAGGACATTCAGTGAGTAGCTGCTTGTTTGTTATTAGAAATCCTATCCTGCTGAAGCCTTTATGGCAGAAGATCTTTTAGACTGTATCAGCATTGGCTTTAAAATCCTTTTGTAACATTACGTCATGGTGGACAGCTTAGGGAGGGACAGAAATAAGAGTGAGTAGAGGAGAATGAAACTGTTAGAATGCTGGGTTCAGTATACTCTGGGCAGTCCTGGGCAGTCCTGGGGAGGTGGAAAGAGTGGATAGGAAGGAAGAAGTAAGTGTGCTCGGGTTATTGTGATGATATTTACTTTGTAAGATTATATTTATATGTATGTAGTTTGAGAGTCTAAGATTTTATTCTGTATCTCTTAATCATCCAGAATTAGAAAGTCTTTAATCTCTTTTTTTTTAGTAAATGTTATTTGGAACCTTGCTAACAATTTGCCACTTTTCTAGAGTGGTTGAACTTGATTGCTTCAAATCTGATCTTATTTCAAGAAATAGACTGACCTGCCCTTAAGGTATATCCAAGTAAGCTTGATGTTCTTCTTTCTGCTGAAGTCTTCCTGGCAAGCCTCCCTGCAACTTAAAACCACTAATCTGATTAATCAGTGAGGGAAACAATACTATGAAAAATATTTGCTTATTAGTTGCTAATTCTAGATTTTATTTATATGTGTATTTTCATAGGCCACATACATTCTTGAAATACAGGAACCTCATTTGAAACAGTTCTTTAAAAACTATCCTGAAGTGGAGCTGATTTCACTCTACTTTCGTCTCCCACTCTCCTGGCCCACTCCGCGGAGGCAGTGCCAATGAATCGTATTACCCAAGAGGCAGTCAGTGAAGAATAAACAAGTGGAAACAGATGACTCAATAAGCCAATGATTGCATATTCAAGCCTTATTAACTGAGTGTTGACCTGTGGTTTGAAAGTTACAAAAATGCTAAGACGTGATCTTTCTTTTAGGTGGGAAATGAAGAAGGATGAAACACTACAAGAGGAAGAAAAAGCAATGCTGGAGCACTTAAAACAAATTTGCACCCCACAGAACTCTTCTGCCTCAGATAACACAGAGGAACAGTAATCTGCAGAAAACAGCAACAGCTTTATTTTAGGAAACAATCCCATGTAATGGAGTAGGATTTTTACCATAGTCAGAATGGACCTCATATGTGCTGTGAAGCATGAAACCAATGACTGAGTAATCTCTGTACTGAAAAGGAATACAGCACATAAAGAATAAAGTGTTACATATCTTTTTTATTTTAAAAATAATTTCAAATGTTTTTCTTTCCTCAATCTTTCTCTTTATATGATATAACTGCTGCCATCTCGTGTTCCCTTTGAATTATTTTTTTCTCCTTTCGGTCTTGAAGTATCTATGACAACAGGCAAAAATGTTCAGAAAGTTTTTAAAGGATTTTTGAAATGCAACATTTGGATGTTAAGTTGAGTGGAGTCACATAGCCCCGTGAGGTTATCTGAAATTTTTAATTTAATTTTGTTGTAGCTGTAGCCCAAGTCCCAATCTTAATTGCCTTACCCACAATTGTGCCAACTTTCCTCATTCAATTTATCTAATTACAGTTTAAAAAAAAAAAAAAAAAGGCATTCTCCTGAACTATAACCTCAGTCACACCTCTGCTTGTAGTGGTTTTCAGTCTTCCTCCTAAAACAGAATCAAACTTCTACTCATACATATTCAGGTCCTATACCAAATGGCTCCATGTTCATACAATTGCCTGCCATCCTCTTGGTTCAAGTCACATGCTTGCCATGTTTTCCCAACCAGATTCCATCTTTCTTCCAAATTTAGGCTCAAAACGAATTCCAGCAATCTTTACCCCAAAGCTCATTAGCTCATATAATGTGTTACTTAAAAATTTTTTCATTATATTGCTATACACACACACACACACACACACACACACAAAGAAAACAGAACATGCTCTAGTACCCTCTCTGCTAAGAACAATTATAGATATTTATTATTTCCTTCCTATCAGTGCCTGATATTAGATTATAAAGACCTTGAAGATCTTATTATATAATATGAAGTCTCCCTTTATAACTCCCCATTTGCCTACTACAGTATTATTTCATCAAGGGGGCAGTTAACAAACACAATCGATTAAATAGCTGCTAATGAAAGAAAAAGACAACAAAGAGAATTGCATGGTTGGGCAGTCTAAGAATGTCTGGGAGAAGCCTTATATCTTTTTTTTTTTTTTTTTTTTTCATTTTAGAAATGGGGTCTTGCTCTGTTGCCTGGAATGTAGTGCAGTGGCATGATCATAGTTCACTGTAACCTCAAACTCATGGGCTCAAGCAATACTCCTGCCTCAGCCTCCTGAGTAGCTAGAACTACAGGTGTGTGCCACCACACCTGGTTCAGTTTTTAAATTTTTTTGTAAAGATGAGTTCTCACTATGTTGCCCAGGCTGGACTTGAACTCCTTGCCTCAAGTGATTCTCCCACCTAGCTAGAACTACAGTTGTGTGCCACCACACCTGGTTAATTTTTTAAATGTTTTTGTAGAGATGGGGTCTCACTATGTTGCCCAGGCTGGACTTGAACTCCCTGCCTCAAGTGATCCTCCCACCTCTGTCTCTCAAAGCACTGGAACTATAGGCATGAGCGACCACACCAGGCCCAGAAGCCTTACATCATGGGCTATTTTAGAGCATATGACATCAAACTTCATGTTTTCTGATGTTCTCAGATATATAATAAATTGTCCGTACTCCCACATCCTGTGATTTTTATAAAATATGTGTAGGCTACATGATTTCCAAAGGAAAGTACTCATGCATTTTTCAAAGAGTAAAAGCTTGGGGTGCAGAGGAGGCCACATTAGGAAATCTCTTACATTTTTTCTTTAAATAAAAATACATAAATGGCCATGTAGACAGCTGCCTGCCAAATAACACATTTTATTTTTAAAAAATGTACTTTAGTTGGCCAGTATAATCATAAACCAAGTGTTTTTAAGATTTGGTTGAAGTAATTTCTAAAAATTCTGTGAAGACCATTTAGAAAATGGTAGGAAAATTTTATGAGAACTGGACATTCCATCTAATCTGATCTTTAAACAGGTTACTATAACAATCAACATAAGGCAACAGTTGACTTTATTCCTTCAGCTAAGTGGTGGTCTGTGTACTAAATCTGCCTAATTGTGCTTCATTAGACTAGATGCAAAAATGGAAAGTTAAAGATAAATTAATCCAATAAACCAAATATAACATCTTATAAAGTTATAGGATTTCACATTTGGATTGTCTTCTAATATATCTAAAGGTCATCTTTTAAAGCTATTATTATTTAATTCATATATTCCTGTACTAATCCTGGAAAGTAATTTTGTTCCTCCAGAAAAAATATTTTCTGTGGCTTCCTTTTGAAAGGAAAGTAGTATAGTAGGGGAGAATGAGATGAGTTTAAAGGAAGAGAAAAGTAGTAGAGAAAGTGGGCTTGCAGTTGAATTCTATTCTGTGCTTGTTCAGTGAATTTATTATAGCCATAAGTGCAATAAAGTTTATAATTGAAAGTGTTAAGTGACCAGTCATTGATTTATCATATTATTTTAACTTTATACGCAATACGTTTTTTTTAAGAATAATAAGAAGTGGTATTTCAAAAAGGTTTTTGTTTCTCACATTTGTATGAGTTAACAACAGGAATGAAGCCTAACAGTTTATATCTCCCCATATGCTTATTACAAAAATATTATCTTCCTATAAAGTATGATCTTCCTTCTGTGTTCTGTTTAACTGTATTTTATGTAATTATATAGAGATATCTATTTTATTAATGGTTTAGCAGTTACTATGTGAAAATAGTATGAATTAATTTTTAAATAAATTATAAATAATATTGTCTATTTCAGATATTTTACATTTTTGTCATCTCTACCAAACACTATTATAGAACTACCAACCAAAGAATGGAAAAAAGAAATCAATTGTTTTGTTTAACAAGATGTGCCTACTCATAATGTCCTATTACCCCAGTTTATATATACCTGGGTCAAAGAAATTTTCAGGTAGTTCATAATTATCATTCCTTACTATAAAAAAATTTAAGATTTTTAATACCTCCCTTTAAAATTGAAATGTTTCATAGAAAAAAAAAAACCCAGCTGTATTCAACCTTAAAAAGAAAGGAATTTCTGTCATATGCTGCAACATGGATGAACCTTGATCACATTATGCTAAGTGAAATAAGCCAGTCCCTAAAAGACAAATAATGTGTGATTCCACTTACATAAGGTATCTAAAGTAGTCAAATGCAGAGGGGCGGGGGAGGAGGAAAAGGGGAATGGTTGTTCAAAGCGTACAGAGTTTCAGATTTATGAGATGACAAAGTCTGGAGATCTGTTTCACAAGAATGTGAATACACTTAACACAACTAAACTGTATACTTCAACATGGGTAGGAGAGATTGCTGAGAAAGCAGCTTCAAGATGGCTGACTAGCTACATTTGCTACTCACCTCTTCCACAAAGAAGAACCAACATAGCGAGTAGATAACCACACTTCGAATAAATGATCTAAGAGAGAATACTGGAATTCAACAGAGAAGTGTCAGAAAACATTAGAACAAGGAAGGAGAGAGGTGAGGCAGCCTGCTCAGCCAGGATTGACCGGAAGCCCAGAGAGACTTCCTGGTCGAGAAAAGGGTGAGAGACCTCTAGCAGTGCATGCTCCCACTACAGGTTACTGCAAACCAAGCCATGGGAGAGCCCTTTGACCCACGTGGACTCTGAAACCAACATAGGGAGATGCTTGGAAACCAAAATTAGCCCAGCATGGTGGCGCATGCCTGTAATCCCAGCTACTCAGGAGGCTGAGGCAGGAAAATCGCTTGAACCCAGGACGCGGAGGTTGCAGTGAGCCCAGATCGTGCCACTGCATTACAGCCTGGGTGACACAGCAAGACTCGGTCTCAAAAAAATAAAAATAAATAAAAATAAAAATAAAAATAAAAATAAATAAATAAATAAACAAATAAATAAAAAAAATAATCCTATCAAAAATTGGGTGAATATCAATAGATATTTCTCAAAAGAAGACATACAAATGGCCAACAGGTATGTGAAAATATGCTCAACATCACTAACCATCAGGGAAATGCAAATCAAAACCACAATGAGATATCATCTTACCCCAGTTATAATGACTATTATTAAAAATATGAAAAACAAGAGATGTTGGCAAGAATGCGGGGAAAGGGGAAAATTTTGTGGATTATTAATTTATTTTATTTTATTAATTGTGTGGGTACATAGTAGGCATATATATTTATGGGATACATGAGATGTTTTGATATAGGCATGCAATGCACAATAATCACATAATGGAGAATGGAGTATCCATCTCCTCAAGCTTTTATCCTTTGTATTGCAAATAATCCAATGACATCATTTTAGTTATTTTTAAAACATACAATTATTATTGACTATAGTCACCCTGTTGTGCTATCAAATAGTAGGCCTCATCCATTCTTGCCATTTCTTTTGTACCCATTAACCATCCACATGTACCCCTAATCCCCAACAACACTTCCCAGCCTCTAGTAATCGTCCTTCTATTCTCTATGTCCATGCGTTCAATTGTTTTGATTTTTAGATTCCACAAATAAGTGAGAACATGTAACGCTTGTCTTTCTGTGCCTGGATTATTTCACTTACCATAATGATCTCCAGTTCCATCCATGTTGTTGCAAATGATAGAATCTCATTCTTTTTGTGGTTGAATAGTACTCCATTGCATATATGTACCAATTTCCTTTATCCATTTGTCTGTTGGCGAATACTTAGGTTGCTGCCAAATCTTAGCTATTGTGAATAATGCTGCAACAAACATGAATGCAGATATCTCTTCCATAGACTGATTTCATCTCTTTTGGATATATACCCAGTAGTGGAATTGCTGGATCATATGATAGCTCTATTTTTAGTTTTTTGAGGAGTGTCCAAACTTCTCCATAGAGGTTGTACTAATTTACATTCCCACCAACAGTGTATGAGAGTTCCCCTTTCTCCACATCCTCATCAGCATTTGTTATTGCCTGTTTCTTTTCTTTCTTTCTTTCTCTCTCTCTTTCTTTCTTTCTTTCTTTCTTCTTTCTATAAGCCATTTTAACTGGGGTGAGATGATATCTCATTGTAGTTTTGATTTGTATTTCTCTGATGATCAATAATGTTGAGCACCTTTTCATATGCCTGTTTGCCATTTTT